AAATATGACAAAATCCCCGCCCCCGCCTCTCCCCCTTCCGCAGCTGCTTTAACTATTTTCGACACTCCATTAATGGCGGCTTCTTTCATGCTCAGATCTTCTTTCCTCTCTCCTCCTTCTCCCCAACTCCATCACCAATCTCCTCCTAAATCCAATCCCACTATTCACTTCATCAATCCAATCAAAGCCACCGCCTCTACAAATGACGCAATTATCCCTCCCCAGAAACACCGCCGCCCTGCCGACGAAAATATCCGCGAAGAGGCCGCTCGCCGCCCCACCTCCTCCCACAATTTCTCCGCCAGGTATGTAGGGGAAGATATACTAGCGAAATGAATAGATAATAAGCAAAATGAAAATAGTGGGTCTAAAATTACAATAATTTACTCATTGCTCATTTATTTAATGCTGACATCAAAAAGTGCTGCGTATGTCACTGCAGGTACGTGCCTTTCAATGCGGATCCAAGCTCCGATGAATGGTATTCTCTCGATGAAATCATCTACCGGAGCCGCTCCGGCGGCCTACTTGATGTTCAACATGATATGGACGCTTTAAAAAAGTTTGACGGTCAGTACTGGAGGTCACTTTTTGATTCACGTGTCGGGAAGACGACGTGGCCTTACGGGTCAGGTGTTTGGTCTAAGAAGGAATGGGTCCTACCCGAAATCGATAGTGATGATATTGTTAGTGCTTTTGAAGGAAACTCAAATCTTTTTTGGGCTGAGCGTTTTGGCAAACAGTTTCTAGGCATGAGTGATTTATGGGTAAAACACTGTGGAATTAGTCATACAGGTAGTTTTAAGGATCTAGGTATGACTGTTTTGGTGAGTCAAGTGAACCGGTTAAGGAAAATGCATAAACCGGTTGTTGGTGTGGGCTGTGCTTCCACTGGTGACACGTCAGCTGCATTGTCAGCTTACTGTGCATCTGCGGGGATTCCATCGATTGTATTTTTACCTGCAAATAAGATATCTATGGCGCAGCTGGTACAACCGATAGCTAACGGAGCTTTTGTGTTGAGCATTGACACCGATTTTGATGGTTGTATGCAGTTGATTCGTGAAGTCACTGCTGAGTTGCCAATTTACTTGGCGAATTCGTTGAATAGTTTGAGGTTAGAAGGGCAAAAGACTGCAGCAATTGAGATTTTGCAGCAGTTTGATTGGCAAGTTCCCGATTGGGTGATAGTTCCTGGAGGGAACTTGGGTAATATATATGCGTTCTATAAAGGTTTTATGATGTGCAAAGAGTTGGGGCTCGTTGATCGTATCCCTAGGCTTGTGTGTGCTCAAGCAGCTAACGCGAATCCGCTTTATTTGCATTATAAATCCGGTTGGAAAGACTTTCAACCCGTGAAGGCGAACACCACATTTGCATCTGCTATACAGATTGGTGACCCAGTGTCTATAGATAGAGCTGTTTTTGCCCTGAAGAACTGTGACGGGATAGTGGAGGAGGCAACGGAGGAGGAGTTGATGGATGCTATGGCTCAGGCAGACTCAACTGNAGAGGAGGAGTTGATGGATGCTATGGCTAAGGCAGACTCGACTGGGATGTTCATTTGCCCGCACACTGGTGTGGCATTGACTGCCCTGTTCAAGTTGAGAAACAGTGGAGTTATCGGACCAAATGATAAGACCGTGGTTGTGAGTACAGCACATGGATTGAAGTTTACTCAATCAAAGATTGATTATCACTCAAAGGAAATAAAGGACATGGAATGTCGGTTTGCTAACCCACCTGTGGAAGTGAAAGCAGATTTTGGATCAGTCATGGATGTTCTCAAGAAATATTTGTTGAGCAAAAATGCCAAGCACTGATTTGCTTTCTCAGTTATAACAGGGTAAGTGTGTATTATGTACTTCTATTGTCAGCATTTGGTTCTTCGCCGTCATTAAGTTGCCATGTAGAAATGTCTGGATGGTGATTTGTTTGTTGGCAGAGTTGGGGATAGAAAGGCTCTAAATTTCCTTTGGGAGGACTATGAATTTAAGTTTTATGGAACTCTTTTTTGTGTAATAGTCTGCTATTTGAATGTTATTTTAGCATTGGCATTGCTTTGGAGCATCACAATAAAGCTCAGTTTTTTCCATAATGTTATAATCACTATCTTAGATAATCAAAAACTGTTTCTATAATATAAACTGAGGAAGCACTGTTTTTCAGTACCTTCAATGTGTTTTTAGACCTATTGTTCAGTATAGAGAACAGGAAAGCAGGAGGTGTAAAACCCTCCAAGGAAATCATGTTTCTCTTAATAACTTGTCTTTTGAAGTTCTTGTATTTCCATCACTAAGTGCTTATAATAAAAGGCAGACCTTTCTCTCACAAGGAAATCATGTTTCTCTTAAAAGTCATTTGCCATGCTGAATAAGATATTGCCACCTTAAAGAGGATTCACTTTGGATACTGCAGCTAGAAACTGATATCTTATCTGATTGATATTTCCTGTCTCTTTTACGTGTATATTCTTGCCATGCCCCGAAAGCACTTGTTTGGGAATAGTTAGTAACAAAATAAAATTTGAAATCTTGAACCGACACCGGTATTACCATTCACAAAACTCAAGTTGCTTGTGCACACTTTATGTAACATGTGCCATGTTGGGTTGTAACGTATTGAATGTCGTGAGTGCGGGACTGTATTGTCAGCTAATAATAGGATCTTTGGAACTAGAAATCTGGATCAGATTGCATTTATCTTTTCTTCATCTGTCTTGAGGTAACTTATTTAATGTTGTCTCAAAGTATGTAACCCTTTCTCGAAATCAATGTGGATTTAGCTTAGATCATGTCAAATGGGAAATAAAGAATCTAAAATAGGCTTAGTTGATTTCTTCTCTTTTGTCCAAGCCTTGATGGACCGAGTTACCTGGCACCTGTTGCTGGTGGGAGGTAGCAGGTATCTAGTGGGATTAGTTGATGAGTACGTAAGCTGGCCCCGAGACCACGGTTATTAGAAAAAACCTATATTTAGTCTGATGTTTGCCAAGCGTTTTCTCTTTCTAGTTAGAGACTTGATTTACCGTGTAGGAATAAGTGAGATTTACAGCTCCTCTACTCTGAGGGAGCTCCTAATTTGTCTTAAAAGACAATTTATTTGTTATTTGAATGAAATGGACGTTAAATTAGCAGAATTGATATAGTAGATTCATATAGCAAATTTAGGTACAGTTAATTGATTGGCACACTTAAAAGGTTAATCTGTTTCTTGCGTAAGTAGTATTACACTGGACCCCAAGTTAAATTGGATATGACAAAATCCAATCTTGAAAGATCTACTCTGAAATCCGTATTTCTGCTGGTGATTCTTTCCAAATGTTAAATTGTAAACAACATTGACCTGTATTGACTATCTTCAGGATTTTGTTTTGATGCAATTTATTTCATGGTTTGGTAATAGTCAATGATATAACTGAACCAATTTGCCATTCATGGGGTACTATGCAGTAGGCCAGTTATTCTTATGCATTGTTACGTTCTATCATAATTTGTTCTGAAGCAATCTTTGTGAATGATTGAGGCCTATTTTCCTTTCCCTTCTAAATCCAGTTCAGATGATGGTGGACTATTTGGTAAGATCGGTCTAACCACTATGCTGAACACCTCTTGTCTGCAAGTTTTACTGGATATTGCAAATTACAATTGCTTGGATGAAGAATGTGTACTTGATGAAATTTTAGGGTTGCGCATTGGAGTATAGACTGAAAGTGCAGGCTGACAAAGAAGAAGATGAGTTGAAGGGTAAGCATTCAAATTCTAGCATGACTTTTTGTGTGAGTAAAGTGCCTGATGATCTAGCACCGAGCTATAGACCCTGCATTTTTTATCCTTCAACTTCCAGTTGCTTAACAATTGAGGGTGCTTAATTATCTGCAGCTCATGCTAGAAGCTTGAAGTAGGTTTTTGGTTTGCTTTCATTCCTACCTATATCTATCCAATACAGTTGGAGTAAAAATTTTCTGTTATTTTGCTTTTCAAAGCATCGCCATTGAGAATGGAAGTCTAATTACTCTTTAGTGTCAAATGATTGCTGCTTTGCCATCATTTAGATAAAGGANTAATAATTGGATCATCTTAACCTACAAAGATAAACAATCAACATCTTTGTGATTTTCAGTAAAATCATCCTATAAAGTATAATAATTATATGATATCGCTATATTTTAAAATTAAAAACTGCATGAATTACATTATCTTATTTATATAGTACAAAAAGTTAATATTTTTTCATGAAAACTTACGTAATTTTAGCTTACCTTTTTTTTTAAAAACTGTTCTCCTACTTCATCCTTCTCCAAAGTAATTTCATTGTTACTAACATGAAAATTACATATGAAAACTATGAGATTAAATTAGTGACAACTATAAAGCAATTGTGTTAAAATAATCCATAAATTTCTATAAAGAATTACCACAAGATAGTGTCCTCACTAAAATTTTCGCCTCTTCGAAGGATAACCCATTTGAATTTTTTTAATTGGGAAGGTCATTGTCAAATTTCTTTATAATGATATTATTAGTAAAAGTCATTTCAACTTTTCTGTGCACTGGGGAGTGGTGAGGATTAACATGACTTAATTGACTATTAATAATGTTATAACTTTTATTTGATTTTAAAAAATCCTTACGTTATTTCCGATAAGTTAACTTATCGGAGAATGTAAACAATAAAAATTCCATTAAGTTGGCATGTTAATTAGTCTTATGGAAAGATGTATGTAGGAGGTTATTTCTTGGTTCATATTGACTATGTCGCTATCAAACCATATGTCAATCTTGACGTGCATGGTAGAGTGAATTTTTTTTTAATGGTAGTCATTGTATTTGTGGTTCCTATAATCTAGGAAAGCTAAAGAAAGGAAAAATTTCAAGATCCCGAAGTTCTCTATTTCTTTGTTTTTGAGACACACAATTGGCTATAGTGACAAAAGTAGCTTAAGCTAGCCTGGCCTTGAGAGTTGAGGGTAGTTGTTGGCTCGTCCATTATTAGGTCAAGTAAGGTTGTTAGAGCCTTCTTTTCTTTTATGTATACGCGCGTATTGAAATCTCATTGTTCTTAATTTTCAAGTGCGCGCACGCGCACACACACATATATGTATGTGTGTGTGTGTGTATATATATATATATATATATATATATATATAT